CCCCCCCCGAGAGCCGCTGCTGTTAGGGCCTCAAGTTGGTTCTGACCCTTTGCAGCCCCGTGTAAGCGGAAGGGAGCCCTACCAGGCCCGCGCCGTCTCACAGTCACGGTTACCTCTGAGCCCAGGGCTATAGCCTCTGTGTCAGGCCTCTTTGTGGCTGACTTTCTGCTTCACCAGGCGCGATGTGCTTTCCAGGGACTGGTCCCTCCTGGCAGCACGTCCCGAGTGCGTGTCAAAGATGAGGTCTCCCGTGCTCACTTCCGAGGAGCATTCTGCCTCTGCTTCCAAGACAGGCGTGTGTGGGTTTTGACAGTCCGCAGTTTGGGGCTTGTTTTGTTTTTTCAATATTCTTCGCCAGCACCATCATTCACACGCATCAGCTTTTCTGCAGTTTTAAGGAAAACTCCATAGTCCAACTTTCACATGTACATGAGGCAGTTGACAATGCCCGCCCCGGTCGGGTGCACTGCAGCCTTCAAAAGGACGTCTTTGCTTTCCAACACTCCAGCGGCCCCGTGCAGCAGATTTGCCCAGTGCGGTACGCCCATTGATGTCTCCGCTGCTGCTTCCTTCCGTTGATTGTGGACCCCAGCAAAATGAAGCCCTGGACGACTTTGATCTTTCTCCGTTGATACGTCAGCACATACTGGCCCGGTGGTGGGGACTTTGGTCTTTTCACATGGAGCTGTCATCCACACTGAAGACTGCAACCCTTGGTCTTCATCAGCAAGTGCTGCAAGCCTTCCTCACTTTCAGCCAGCCAGGAGATGTCATCTGCCTGTGGCAGGTTGTTAGTCAGCCTTCCTCCCATCCTGATGCCACACTCTTCCTCATGTAATCCAGCTTCGCTGACGATTTGCTCAGCACACAGATTGAATTTGGTATGGTGAGAGGGTACAGCCCAATGCCCACCTTTCCCAACTTTAAACCATGCAGTATTCCTCTCTTGTTTCCACCGAGCTGCCACGGGTTCCCCAAGAGCACAATGACATGTTCTGGGGCTCCTCGTCTCAGTGCCGCCCCTTGTTGGTGATGATCCACAGTCATGCCTTCCAGGGGCGTCAGTAGAATACAAGTTAACAAGTTAACATCTTTCTGGTACTCTCTGCTTTCAGCCCAGATCCATCTGTCTTCGGCAATGAGGTACCTCCTGCCGCTTCTGAATCCAGCTTAAAGTTCAGAGGCCTCCCTGCCAGGGTATTGCTGCCACTTGTGTGAAATTGTATTCGGAATTTTACTTGCATTGATATTAATGATACTGTCTGATAATTTCCACGGTCTGTGGGATCACTTGGGGATCCTTGGTGGCGTAGTGGTTAGGGACTGGACTGCAGACCACAAGGTCAGCCACCGCTGTATAACCCTGTGTGCGACAGAAGGAAGCAGTTGTACCCTGTCTCACGGGGTGCTAGCTGTGAGTCGGAATCAACTCGGGCAATGGGTGTGGCTTTGGGCTTTGTTCATTGGATCGCTTTTCTTTGGAATGGGCACAAATGAGGGTCTCTTCCAGTTGGTTGGTCAGGTAGCTGCCTTAACTTCCCAGACCAGACAGGTGAGTGCTTCCCTTCACCGGTATCCTCTCGGTCCCTGGAGTTTGACGTTTGGCTAATGCCTTCATCCCAGCTTGGACTTCTTCCTCCAATGCCACCAGTGCTTGCGCATATGCTGCCTCCTGGAATGGTGGCAGGTGGACCCGTTCTTTTTGTACAGTGACTCTGTATTCTTGGCACCTTCCTTTGATACTCCTTGCATCATGCAATATCTTGCCCATAGAATCCCTCATATCGCACCTGGAGAGCTGGTTGTCCCATAGCTAATTGAACGAGCACCCTACGGGGGGATGGTCAGATTGTATCCAGCCTTCCTTTGGTTTGTATAGCTGTTGGAGGTATCACTGCTGTATTCACATGCAGAGTGTACTCTGGTCAGTTTTTATTACGTGGACGGAGCCTGTGAAGCCACAGCAGTCGGGGTGAGCACCCGCCCTCCAAGCGTGTCCGGCCTCGGGCAGCTTCAGAGGGTGCTGCCGTGGGGTCCAGGGTCAGGGAGCAGAGAAGACAGGTGAGACTAAAGCTCGAGCAGTGGCGTGCCTGGCTGAAAGGGGTGTGGACTGTCATCCTGAAAGATGTCACCGAACTGCCCTCCAAACCGTTGGCCTCGGTTGATGCCCATCCAGCAGTGGGGCGGGGCAGGGTGGGGAGAGGCGGGCCCTTCTCAAGAGTCTGTTGACACAGTGATGGCAAAAGAGAAAGTCTCTTGGGGGTTTAAATTTGGCATTGAAGTGTTTATGTTTTTAGCAGTAAAATACCATATTTACTTGTGTATGAGCCCGAATTTGTCAGCACATATTTAATGCCGTTTTTGTGGTAAAATTAGGTGCCTCAGCTGATACTCAGGCAGGCTATACTCACGTATATACGGTAATATGTCATGCAATTCAGTGGTTCCATCGTATTTTTAAATAGAGCCCTACCATCACCTCCACAATCCATTTAGAGCATTTTCTTCTTTCTTGTAAAGGTTCATTGTTGTCGGCTCCCTGTTCGCCCCAAGTTTCTTGGTTGAAGTGGCTTTTCCCCTAGCTGCCAGTGAAGTCCGTTACCTTTTGTTTGGGTGGGAGGGGGGACTGACATAACTTGTTCTCACACGCCTGTTTCTGGGGTCTGCTGTGCTCGACTGCCGCGTGACTTCTGTGTGCACGGAGAAAGCATTGCTGGGGGGGTGTGGGGACTGCAGGCTGAGTCTGCACCCTCGTCCACTGCCCCATCCCCATCCTGCCCTAACCTCCCTCCCGGGCCCTGCTTCTGAAGCTTTTCCGTGACAAATGACGTCTACACACAGGTACAGACGTACGTAGTCACCCACCTCAAACTCGCCCCCGGGGCTGGGGGCCATGCTCCCTGAGGAGAGGCCCTCTGGCTGCCGGGAGGTGGGCTGGCGGCGCTCTGGTGTGGCGCGCTCTGGGGAAGGCTCTTCTCTCTGGCAGGAGCACGTTCGCCGTGGACGGGAAGGACTGCAAGGTCCACAAAGACGTGGAGCGCGTGCTGAAGGAGTTCCACGGGGCTGGGAAGCCCCTCGGGTGCGTGCACCCCGGGGCTTGGCGGGGAGGGAGCCCGAGGCCAGGCCGGGGTGGAGGGGGGAGCAGCCTGTGGTGCTACCTTGGAGCCCCTGCTGCTCAGGGCTGAGCAGGGTGGTCTTGATCCCCTCGCCCGTCTTTTCAGGTTTGCTGAGGAAGTTTCACATGGCCTGGAGGGCTGGCGGGCATCAGGAAAGGGGTGGTCCGGCCCCACCAGCGTCCCACAATGCCTCTGGGCAGCCTCTGGTTGACAAGCCGCCCTCCTGCCTGGCCCCTGCACACTGGTCAGGGTGCTTGGACCGTAGCCCTGCCTGGTGTACCCACAGCAGGGATGCTTGTCACCAGCCCTTCCAGGCCACCGCCTCAACCACGAGGCCACCCACCAGCCCCACAGGAGACATGGCCAGACTGATGGCGACGTGCCGGTGTCCGAGCTGCCCTGTGGTCCCCTGCCCTCATAACATGGCTGCAAGGAGGCCTGGCCGATTCTGCTGGCCTGGGGCTTTGGGTGCCCTTGGGTGCCTCCCCCCTCCCTGTGCTGGGGAACCCCACCTGTACGTTGATGTGTGTGCTGGGGTGCCTGGCTTGCCATCTGCCGCCCCAGGTAACATGTAATGGTGGCCTTTGCTTCCAGCTTGTGCTGCATCGCGCCTGTCCTTGCTGCCAGAGTGCTGCATGGCGTGGAGGTCACCGTGGGCCATGAGCAGGAGGAGGGCGGCAAGTGGCCATACGCTGGGACCGCCGAGGCCATCAAAGCCCTGGGTGCGAGGCACTGCGTGAAGGACGTGACCATATCCTTTCTGGCAGCTGGGGGCGGTTCCCAGAGCACCTGGGGCTCACCTGGGGCCTCTCCTGCTTAGGGCTGCCCTCGGCTTTGACAAGGTCTAATTGGCAGAGCTGGCCTCTGCCTGACAGCATGGACACTCACAGGTCTCTGGGGGAGGGAGGATTGTCCCTTAGAGGCCGATCCGTGGTGCCTGTTCCACAAGGATCTCTAAGTGAGGGCCCTGTGATTGGCATGCGATGCTACGCTGATAGAACTGGCGCTCCCTCTACGTTGTTGGCTTCTCTCCTGCTCCTGGGCTGTGTCCCCTCAGGGTTACCGCAGAGACAGCCAGTAAGGAGGGCTTTGCCTCTCACTCCATTCTTTAAAAGTCCCCTAGTGTGTGTGTGTGTATGTTGTATTATATAGTAATATATGTTATCCTACTGTGTAATGTAACATGTATGGTATAGTCAGAACGTACACACATGCACTCTGTGAGTGTGAGAGTGCTGTTTAAGGAATTGTCTCATGTAACTGTGGGGCCTGGCTGCAGGCTGGAGACTCCTACAGGCTTGTGTCCCAAAGTCCACAGGTCAGGGCTGAGGGGAGTGGGGGCTGTGCAGGTGGAGTGCACCGTCTTGGTGCTTCAGGCCCTCCACTGAGCAGATGGGGCCCAGCCACCCGTGGAGGGCGCTCTGCCTCACCTAAGGGCTGGTTACATCGAACAGGGTCCACTGTTTCAGAGCGAACCTGCAGGTTGTCCCTGGGAGCCTCTGTGGGGCTGTCAGAATCCACCCCACGGCTGTGAGGGAGTTTATCTTTGAGGCCAATGTAGAAGGAGCCCCTGGAGGTGTAGTGGATTTAGCTTTGGGTGCTAACCACAAGGTCAGCAGTTCAAACTCCTGAGACACTGGGGGAGAAAGATGAGGCTTTCTGCTCCTGTAAAGGTTCACAGCCTCACACTGCGGCAGTTTCTCTCTGCCCTACAGGCTCTCTGTGAGTCAGCGTGTGCTCAGTGGCAGGCAGGGCTGGGGTGCTGCTTAGAGCAGCATCTGACTGCACCTGGGCACGGCAGCCTAGCCGAGCAAACACCTAACTACCCACAGTGCCAGTCCCGCGGATTCTAGCTGCGTAACGGGGCAGGGCATCCCAGCAAGCCTGTCGTGGAGGAGCTCACCCCAGGAAGAACCTCTCCTCGGGAGTTAGCTGCAGTGCGGACCAGACAGAATGCAGGGAGGCTGTTGAGAGCAGTGGGAGGCCTGCTGACCCTTTTGAGGGGCCAGTTTTTTTCCATAACGTCTGCCCACGAGGCCCACGTGGACCAGAAAAACAAGGTGGTCACGACCCCCGCGTTCATGTGCGAGACCGCTCTCCATCACATCCACGATGGCATCGGGGCCATGGTGCGGAAGGTGCTGGAACTCGCCGGGAAGTGACAGCCCCACACGGGGACTGCGCCCCTGCTGCCCCTGCGCCTGCTGCCGTCCAGCCTGCTGGTGGCACGTGTTTGTTTGGCTGTTAAGTCCGTAGGTATTGTCCACTGTAGGAGGCGCGCCATGGTCCCAGCGTGGGGCGATGAAGTGAGACACCCCTCGTCTGCCCTCCTCCCGCCTTGCTCTGCTTTTGCTTAGGAGGAGGAGGAGCGAGGCTGCCAACGCTGCTGTCAGGAGCCGGGGATGGGGTGGGGGTGGGTGGGGGATGGCCTCTGCGTATCCAGCACTGTTGTCCGAGACCATCTGTGAGCCGGGCGGGGTCCCGCAGCAGACGGCCCCTTGGCAGGGAGAGTCAGTTTCTTTCTCTAGTGGAAAGGCAGCAGCAGCATCTCAGGCCCTCTGAAAGCAGCAGGCGAAGACGATGGCCAGGTCACCTGAAGCGGTCCTCGGGAAGAAGGGCCCTTGCAGGAGCCTGTCCCTAGTGAGGGGTAGCAGTAACTGGCCCAGAGCAGCAGCGCCTCGCGGAGGAGGGATGGAGGAGGAATAAAGTTGGGTGACACAGCCTCTCGAGTCTGCCTCATTCTCCTGTGGCCGCAGCCCTGCTCTGTGCCCCTGTGCCCACACCCTGGCCCCATTGGCTTACATTC